ATTTTAGGGCCATCAATCACTGATAACACTAAACTGATGAGCGGTAACAGCTTTTAAAGCGTCGCCTAGGGCCAATTTTGGGTATTATCGTTTTTTGAGGTTTCGCGCGCGCACGCAATTTTAAGGCTTGACATGTTTAGTGTCTTTTTACCCGACGTGACCCCATCTTTTATATTTTACCAAAAAATTGGGTAATAATAAATGTTTTATCATTTAATATAGGGGGAAACTGTTTTTTTTTTTAAAATTTCGGTAATTTTTCCTTAATATAGTAAAAAAATAAAACCCCCAGTGGTGAATAAATACCACCAAAAGAAAGCTCTATCTGTCCCCAAAAAAGGGTATAAAATTCATTTCAGTACAGCGCTGCATGACGGAATAAATGTCAGTCAAAGTACCGCAGCACTGAATACTGAAAAATGGCCTGGATGGGAAGGGGGTTTAACACCGCGGATGTCAACTGGTTAAAGGTCTGTTCCACAGATGTGAGAAGTGTGTAACCAAAGGAGGTGCATATGTAGAGAAGGAAGAGTCAGTGGACTAAATTTCAGATCCCTAGCACATCTGGATCTTGGTGAGGGTAAGAACTTATTGGCCTCCCCTTGTATTAGTGGAGCGGGAAAAGGACTATAAAAGTGAAAGTTGTACTTTTTAAATATTGTATAGAGATTTTGTAAATACATTATTTTTGGTTAATTTTTATATATATATTTTTTAGTCAGGTAATATTTTTAACTCTCATTGACACATCTGTTATCAAAATGGTTCAGCCCAATGTTTCAATCAGAGCAATTGTTTCCGTTAATACATTTTATGAAGAAAGGATACAAATTCCAATCACCTACCTGATGTGGTGTAAGAACAGCAGAAAGTATCACACCATCATCTTCTTTCACAGAATCTGGGTAAGGCACAAATATTGGTTCTGAGGGGTAAAATCCATCTTCTTTCCATATCTGGGGGGAAAAAGATATGTTAGTAAAATGCTGGACCAAAATTTGGGAGACAGGTCGGGGTTAAGAGCCAAAATCAGGAGGCAGCTTTCTCAGCTGGTACCCAAAATAGTCTGCGAAAGTGTGGAAAAGAAGAGAGCACCACAGCACTAGCATTAGTCCAGACAGTTTTTATTGTATAAAGAAAATATCCAACACATTTCGGGAGCTCAGATCTCACTGTTCATCAGGGTTTAAAATGGCAGAACCAAATTTGCCAGGCACACAGTAGGAGGGGATATTTTGTAGAATGTATGAAAACATCTGTACATCTAAGCAGCTCTGAGTTCTATATTCCTGAACACAATCCAGGAAAAACAGGTTAGCTACACCATATTGTTACTTAAAATAAATTCAAGAAAGAAAACCATAACAAAGGTAATTTCTGTACAAGCAAATGTACTATAAACATTATTAAAATCACTCTAATTTAAAGGCTAGTTTTCCTTCTACATCATGTAGTGAAACAGCTTCCATGCCACTGACTATTTTTATTCTTTATCATTTAAAAATATCATGCATCTGAAGGCGGTGAGCCTTCCCTTTATTCTAATATATCTTTATCATCATTGTAGCTCTTAACACCCATCACAATCTGTGAACTGTACTGTACTATTGTGTGACTTATGAAACCAATAAATACACATTTAGATCTTGTAGAACACATAAAACATCAAGGGGGAAATTATCAAAACTGGACCAGACAGAATCTGGATGACCATGGCAACCAATCAGCTTCTCTCTTCACTTTGTTCAGTTACAATTTGAAAATGAAAGAGAGAAGGTTATTGGTAGACATGCACAGCTGCTTCAGATTTTGTCTGCTCCAGTTTTGATAAATGCCTCTCATAGAGTGTTTAAATCTATAATTTGCTTGCTGCTTGCTATGGGCTACATAAACTTGTGGATTTTTTTATAACCTATTTTTAAATGGGTAAGTCCCCTTTACCAGTTGAATCTGGAAAAATGTAATTACCCCTCTCCAATCTAGAGAGGTTCCTTCCCCTGCGCCAGTACGGGTGTACTATCCTTGCCGTGTAGCGCAGCCCCGCACTTTGGATTTTGAATTTTGCTTGCAAATGGCGATCACTCATTGGTCTGCACAGTCACGCTTCTGACCGCACTGACCAATGAGAAGCCCTTGCTACGAGCCGCTTTTCATTGATCAACGCTGTCAGTTGACCACGCTAACCAATGAGTGCTTAACATTTGCGAGCGACATTCATAATCCAGAACGCAGGACTGAGCTACACTACAGTATGGGGAATGGATACTACACATGTATCAGCCGAGGGGAAGGAATGCTCGCCAAAAGGTAAGTACACGGTCACAAAGTCAACAAAAACGTGAGCTCTCAGCATGTGACATATCCTTCATAAAAAAGTGTGAAATGCAAAGTAAAGATACCATACAAAGAAAGACCTGAGTCAAATCCCAAAGAAGTTCAACATTTGATTGTTTAATAAACCAATGCATTACAATGTGATGAACAAGGAGAATACTAGACAGAAATTACAGGACATCAGTTCTCCAGCAGATCAGCGTGTAGTGTTCAGGAAACAAAGCTCATGATAAAATGATTTTAAAAATACATAAATAAATGATTTCTTTACTACCATAGTCTAATCAGTATAGTGTTTGTACAGGAAGACACTGCCCTTGGCTCAGTGCAGCCTTTTGCTCACAGGAAAAAGAAATACGTGACTCACTGTGAGGGAAACCGAAACTAAACTGTGCTGAGTATTCACAGGATCTGGTACGAGGCTCACAACGTAAGTTCATGGGTTAGGGGGATTTTTGTTTAATATACAAACATACAACCTAATGACATAAACCAGTGCATGCTTTATTCTATAAAGTTTTCATTCTGAACTTGTAGCTCAGTTGTGTAAATGTGCAACAAAGCAGATCATTTAATTTCCGCAGACATGGCTGTAGTTCATTGGGTCCTGTAACTCAGCTGTGCTCTATGTTAAAGCAACTCTACACATTAAAATGTATTTCTACTTTTGCAGCCAGACTGCGATAACACCTACTTTATATTTTTACATGTTCCCAATCACATAGCTAACTTCAAAAGAGATATTTAAAAAATGCTGCTTCCATTTTGAAAGCAGAACTCCAGGGTTTTGAAAAGTTAACGGCTCATTTTGTCCAGGGAGCGAAAATAAAGAAGGAATACTCACTCAATCGTTGGTCCCTGCAGCCTATTCTCCAGATGGCTTTGGTGGTCTTAGGACCCTGACTTCATCACCTCTAACAGGTCCATTAGACATGAAGATGTCGAGAAACCATATCACAGCTGGAGCAGAGGGGGAAAGAGGTGATTGGTCGCTGCTGCAGGGCCGAAGATCGGGTGAGTACATTTTCTTTATTTTTGCCCCTAGAGAAAAATGAGCAGTTAACCCTTAAAGTGGAGTCACCCCCGCACTGCAAGGCTTAACTGTTAATTTTTCTCTAGGGGCAAATAATTCTTCAAAAGCCTTGAGCTCTTCTTTATGTCCTTTTTGACATGCTTGACAATACTACGTAACATGCAATGTTAAGGAGAGAGCCAGGGAGTTAATGTTAACATAACTGACCCTATCTGTACTACGCTGTCAGATCTCATTACCAGTTGTAAACTAAATATGGAGACTCTTTGGCACAACAAAGAGTTAAAGACCAAGTAGCATTGTATGTTAATTAGAGGAAATACATTTGGGGGAATTGATCAAAGCTGGAGCAAACAGAATCTGGAGCAGTTGCAACCAATCAGCATCTCTCTTCAGTTTGCCCAGTCAGGATTTGAAAATAAGAGAGAAAAGCTGATTGGCTGTCGAAACATTGCATTAAGTGTATTTGCTATGCAGCACGTACGTTAATAAATAGACGTACTTAATCAGCTATTGGAGTGGTGGTGTCCATGCTTTTGTTCATATGACGAAGCGGTTGCCATATGCCGCCAACCGCAGCACCCATCCTATCACATTGGAATAGCGGCATCTGAGTGCAGTGGGTATATGGACTATATTTGTGTGAGACCAGACTCCTTTTCAAACTGTTCACAGTAGCTTGCAGTCTGCACAATGGCCTTTTCCAAAGAAATATGTAAAAGTTAAGAAACAATAGAAAAAAAAAAATACTTTCCGGTATGCTGTCTTCCCACATAAAACATGTTTTCTCAAATTTGACTGTAAAAGTGAAATACAATTTAAAATAAAGCTTCTCCCTGTAGAATTGGTTGTACTACTTACGTCTTGTGCTGCCAGCACCAACATTGATCAGGAATAGTCCCCCAAGGTCTTCAGGGAAACAAACTATTGGGAAGTTCGAAGTCCTGGGCACCCTACACTGCTTACTGGTTCCTCCTGCTGTTCAGAAACCTGTGAGCAAAAAAAAAATCCAGGAAGTCGTTATACAGTATTTTTTATGAGTAGATCTGTGACAGGATCGTTTTAAAATTACTAATTAAAATGTCTTGTAAAACAAGTATAACTAAACGTTTGCTGTGAAATAGAATGAATGATTTATACATTTTTTGGGGGGCATTCTCTTGTTGAAAACTGATACTGGATCAAAGTTCACCTTCCATTTTATGTGTTTTATTTCAAGGCTTTGGTTGCTGACTCTTCACTTGACAGTCTTATGAAAATTACAGACTATTTTCCTTCAACATCTAACAACAACAGAGGTAAGGTGTGTTTCTAAGGTATTACAGTTGGTCGTGCTGGCCCTGAGATTTGCATAGTTTATAATAGTTGTGAAGAACGCCAAAGAAAACTTGTATTCTTTTGAGAATGAGATTTGCTATCCCGTTGTCATCAGGATAAAAAGTGAAGGGGAATATCTCCAACATACATTTTGACAGCACTACAAAGTTGCCAGAGGTCCTAACCCTTTCACATGTGTTTTTACTGCTGCCCCTCTGTCCATTTGAGAGATGTCCTTCATTTCCGGTTTCCCTGGCCAATGTTGCTGGGTCAAGAAGTGGAAAAAATCCTCCCAATAGAGAAACTAGTAGTAGTAAGTATTTAAAAAAAAACCTGACCTACATTCTAAAACAGGGATAGGCAACCTTGGAACTCCAGCTGGGGTGCAACTTCATATCCTATCATCCCATGGAGTCATGCCTGTGACTGTCAGTCTTGCAATGCCTCATGGGACTTGTAGTTTCACAACAGCTAAAATGCCAAGATTGCCTACCCTGTTCTAACACTTTTCTATGCAGTGCTTAGAATGACAGACTATTGCAGACAAATAGGGATAACACTTTATATTTGTTATATGTAGACATTTTACCCCGCAAAAAATGTGTTTCATTTCATTTCGGATCCATTCGGATTTTTACTCCTTTAGGTTTTTCCGATTTTGGATCCAAAATCTGATTTGTTTCATTATTTGGATTCGTCCTGATGTCCGAAGTTAGCGAAATTCGTACGAATATATATTTGATGTTTAGGCAATTTGGCATCGAAATTTACATGTCTAGTTACAGTATATATTCCCATTCACATAGAATAACTTAAAATATATTTTTTTTAAATGCTGTTTAAAAGAGAACTATGGGGTATTTGCTTTTCCCCATAGTTCTCTTTGGGGGCACGGGAGGACATATACTAGCATCCTCCCATGACCCAAAGCTCAGTATATCGTGGGCTATTGCCGCGTGAACAGGAGCATGTTACAATCATATAGATAGAGGGGTTTTCTCTAATTTGACTTCCAAAGTGAAAATACAGTGGTAAAGAAACTTGCTGCAAGATCTTATAAAAACTTCAATCCAAAGGAATGGGGACACTAAAGTAATTAGCAGACAGGGCAGTTCCTATAATGAGACAGTCTAAGGGTCGGTGCCTCAGGCATCATCTCTTTGGGTCATGTGGGGGTGCGTCCCAAGGTCCCAGGTTGCTAAGAGCTGGGCACGGAGATTTGTAAGGGCCATTCATATCTCTCCACCCAGCTACTAGCAACCTGGGAC